ATATTTTTTAATCCTATGCCTTACCTGCTATATGCCTGCCTATTTGCCTGTAAATACCGCTGCTATTTTAACCTGACCCTGACCCGGATCTGACTGCCTATATAAATGTCAAAGTTAAATAACTAATATACGACCGCAGCAATAAAGCTATAATTCGAGTTTCCCATAACCGTAATGCTCTGTCGAAGTCCTATTAAGATCTTAAAGAGGCTATTTAGTGCTCTGGCGATGTCTGCAGGATCTGAGCATTCCAGTCGCCCACTTCTGTCTGCGATAGGGCCATATAGCCTGCCAGCAACCTCTGGGAATGGAGAGGTGGCTAATTCGCTACCACAGGCCTTCGCAAGGGCTTTGAACTGGTGAAGGGATGGTTTGAAGTTCTCTGGGTAGTCGAGCTCTTTCCAGAGAGCTGCCAGCACCCTCGCGGCTATATCTTCAGAGTATATTTCCCCCAGACAGGAGCAGAGAGCAATGCACTTGAGACCTGAAACGGATTCTGATAAAAATCGAAGAAAACTTCTATAGCCAAAGCCAAAGTAGAGAATGTTAGAGGCGCCACCAACAACCCTAAGGCTCTGGACCGCGTCCCAGATCCTTTGGCGGCCAAGTGCAGGAAGTTTGAATCGAGTGGTCAGCTGCATGACGCCCGCATACGTAAGTTCCTGAACTCCAGCAGCCTGGAATCTGGCAAGGATATCAAGTGTCATAGATACTGCCGTCTTGCTAAATACAATGCAGTCGACCTGGCCTTGCTGTACGAAGCCCACGTCGGTTGTAGGGGGGCTCGTCTGTGCCATGCTGAACCATGAGATAGAACAGTAAAGACGTAAGTAAAGTAGTACCTTCAAAGAGGAGAATCAAGCGCTTGGGAGCCTATATGGCAGGTCCAGGCAGACCTTGGAATATATAAATCTTACGAGGTTTTAAGGCCAGCGTGGCTGCATATTGATGACGTCAGACCATGAAGGCCGGGCAAATGTGCATTCTTGGCACTGAGAGAATACGATCCGAGCAGAGGTTTATGAGTTCTGCTGAGTTGGGCCGAGTCGAAAGGTAATCATTGTAGTGATTTGTAAATAAACCAAGGCTGACCGAGGGTCACATGTTCCGCGGTCGAAATTCCAACGTTGGTGCTGGTGTTATGAGCTTGACAAGTTATCGAGGCGTAGTGCTGTAAGGTAAGCGCTTCGAAAGGATTTATGGCAATGATTATGTATGGATGAGGGTGGAATTATAGAGGTAAAACATCTCTTTATATAGTAAATATTAGGTTTTTAACCATAGTTATCTATATTTAAGCTGGACC